GAAGTTTTTTCGGAAAGAATTTCTACGGGAAATTAACAAACAAGCAGATACGCAACAATATTATTTTAAAACAATTGGATTATGTGCTGTGCACTTATTGTTCGAATTTATCGCCAACAAGTCACAGACATCTACTGTATCCCGGCCCCTATTCACGTATAAAAACCCTGACACTGGGCGAACCAGCCAGGATTATACAGTGGTAAACAGCGTAGAAGAAAACGTTGTCGAAACGTTGTACATTTGCTGTTATGTTAAACTTATATTAAAGTTTTTCTTCATTACCCATTCAAGCCGTCTCCTGCCATTATTAATATATATATATAGTGCCTTGCAATAATCTTCACCCACCTGTGCTGTTTACAACTTTTAGGTATTTTCTTGTGAAATACATAACTCAAATGGACATAAATTTTTATTATATTAATCTCAGATTAGTTTCTAAAGATTAAAAATAACCAAAGTGCATTGTTGCCCAATTTAGTGATATGATACAAAAAATATTATAAACAAATGTTGCAAAAGTTTTCACCCCACTCAACTTTTACCATTTGATTTTACGCTACTGCCCTGCTATAGTAAATACAAGTGTCTATGTACAACTTTATCAGATACCAAAGTATATTATAGAGTCACGTGAAAAAATAATTTAGATCATGCAGAGCCGTCAGTATTGATTTAAGCAAAGTATTTTGAAAGTTGAAATTTGGTTTACTGTTATATATTGAGGATGATGAGAAAATAATTCTAAGGGAGAAGATTGTTTAAAAGCACAATTTCGGAGAAGGCTATAAACCAATTTCAGAGGTTCTCAGTTTGCTAGTAAATACTGTAAAATTGGTTGTGACGAAATGGAAAGTGTGTCACACTACCTCAACCTTGTCAAGATCAGGTCGCCCTAAGAAAGTCTGCGCCCAAACGAGCAGAAAAATCGTCAGAGAAGCGACTGTCAAGCCAACAATAACACTGAATGAGCTGCAGACTTCAATAGCAGCAACTAGAGTTACTGTACACACCTCGTCAATATCACGTACCTTAAACAAAAAGGTTTGTATTAGTAGGGTGGCAAGAAAGTAACCACCTATTGACGAAGATGCATCTCAGATCGCGAATGAATTATGCCCGTAAACATTTCAATAACCCTATCGTAATGTGGTAGAAAGTTCTATGGTTAGATGAGACCAAAATATAACTTTCTGGGTTAAATAACAAACGATATGTATATCGGAAACCCAACACTTCTTCTAACCCGGCATATACAGTCCCAACTATCAAGCATGGTGGTGGATCCATAATGTTGTGGGATGTTTTTCTGCGGCTGGCACTGGAGAACTTGTACGCGTTCAAGGGATCATGGATAGCGCAAAATATACGTAGATGTTGGAGGTAAACCTGAAGAAGTCAGCTGATAAACTAAAACTTGGTCAAAGGTTTACATTTTAATAGGAAAATGACCCCCAACACAGATCAAAGGCAACCCAAGAATGGTTTCGGAGAAACAAAATTTAAGCCCTTGATAGGCCAAGCTAAAGCCCAGACCTAAATCCACTCGCAAATTTGTGGAGAGACTTGAAAATTGCTATGCATCGAAGACGCCCTTCCAACTTACAAGAACTGGAAAATATCTACAAGCAGGAGTGGGGAAAAATATTTCCAGCATACTGTGTAAAGCTTGTGAAGGGTTATCCAAAACGACTTTCAGCTGTCATTGCTGTCAAAGGAGCTCCAATCTTTGTAATGATTAGAAACTGGTCTGAGATTGATATAATAAATATTTTGGCCTTTGAATTATGTCTTTCACAAGAAAATAACTAAAATCGATTATCAGCACAGGGGGGTGAAGACTTTTGCAGGGCACTTTATACATATATATATATAT